CGGGCCCCGCCGGAGCCGCCCTCCGCGCCCAGGGAGCGGCGACCTGGTAGCGCTGTTGCTGATGGGATTAATTGCCCCGGCACATCTAATTTCCTTACTGGTCAGAGAAGAGGTTTAATTGTTATAAAAACCTGGCTCCCCGACTGGAATGGGGGTTAGCAATTTCACGGGTTATATACTTTAGAGAACCTCATTAAGTGCTTTTTAAAATGAATTTCCAGTTCCAGGCTAACCCCGACTACCAGATGAGCGGAGATGACACCCAGCACATCCAGCAGTTCTATGATCTCCTGACCGGCTCCATGGAGATCATCCGAGGATGGGCAGAAAAAATTCCCGGCTTCACCGATCTTCCCAAAACGGACCAGGACCTGCTCTTTGAGTCCGCTTTCCTGGAGCTCTTTGTGCTGCGGCTGGCGTACAGGTACGCGGCCCGAAGCCGAGGGGGGTGAAGCCGAGGGGGGAACTTCTGGGCGGTTATGAAATCAGATCCTTTCAAGGTCCACTGATCTGCATTTTATTAACTCCTCGGTAATTAGGTGCCTCTTAAATCCTTCATTTATTGCTTCTCAAGTAATTAGTTGTTTAGCTTTGCTCCCCCCATCTTCTCTTTTATTTTTCTTTTTGTTTCTTTTTTATCTTTTCTTTTTGCTCTTTCACTCTCTCTTCTCTATTTTATTTTTCTTTCTTTCTCTCTTTATTTCTTTATTTCACTCTGCTTTCCTCTTTGTCTTTTTTTTTTTTTGTCTTTATCTTTTTTTCTCCTCTTTCTTTTCTTTCCTTTTCTCTATTTTTTTCTTATTCATTCATCTGTTCATTTTGGGGTTGTCATATTTCTTCCAGGTCAAACCCAGTGGAGGGCAAGCTTATCTTCTGCAACGGGGTAGTCCTGCACCGGTTGCAGTGCGTCCGTGGCTTTGGGGAGTGGATCGATTCCATTGTTGAATTTTCCTCCAACTTGCAAAACATGAACATCGATATCTCTGCCTTCTCTTGCATCGCTGCCCTGGCTATGGTCACAGGTCAGTGTCCCCATGTTCCCGCTCGGCCCTTTCCATTCCCTCCGTGTCCGACCCGTAACGTCCCGTCTCTTCTCTTTTGCAGAGAGGCACGGGCTTAAAGAACCCAAGAGGGTGGAAGAACTTCAGAACAAGATTGTGAATTGTCTCAAAGACCATGTGACATTTAATAATGGGGGGCTGAATCGCCCCAACTATTTGTCCAAACTCTTGGGGAAGCTCCCCGAACTCCGCACGCTTTGCACGCAGGGGCTGCAGCGCATTTTCTACCTGAAACTGGAAGATTTGGTGCCACCGCCAGCAATAATCGACAAACTTTTTCTGGACACTTTACCTTTTTAAGACTCTTCCCGTGCACTTCTGCTGAACTGAAGAGAAGCTTCACCTGTCGGAAGGGGATTTCGCCTGGGCCCAAAGCAACACCTCCGGGTGCCCGCTTCCCACCCCACCAGTGTTGCCACCCTCCTGCAGGCAGACCGCGAACGGGCATTTTGGCTCTGGGACATCATGGATGCAGATCATGGACTACAGAGATACCATGGTATAAACTTTTTATTATCAGCTTATAAATGAATTTATTATTAAGGACTTCTGATTAAAAAGATGAACCGATCTGGCAACGCCGGGTGCGCAGCTAAGACTCGTACGGTGACAAGCGAAGCGTTAAGGTGACCCACAAGTCTCACCCTCCTAAAGATTAAAGTTTTCTGCTGTAAAAGAAAGCTGTAATATATACAAAACCTAAATGTTGCGTGGGTGGCATGTCATTAAAGAAGGTGAAGGCTTGTAAATTTATCAGATGCAGTTTGGCTTTTTAAAAATTATTCTGTGCCTATTTATGAAGAAATATGGAAAACAATTCTAAAAAAAAAAAAAAAGCTAAACGTGTTTGCAAAAAAAAAAAATTAAAAAAGAAAGAAAAAAAGGAGAATAAAGAGAAAGAAAAATAAATCTCTCCATACCAGGAAAGCATGATGATTCTAGGGTGACAATGTTATAGGCACTTGCTATTTCAGTAATGTCTATATTCTATAAATAGTATTTCAGACACTATGTAGTCTGTTAGCTTTTATAAAGACTGGTAGTTATCTAAGCTTCAAACATTTTCTCAATTGTACAATAGGTGGGCACAAGTATTACAAAACCTGAAATCCTCCCCAAAGGGACACATAGTGTTTGTAAACGCCGTCCGACATTCCTTGTTTGTAAGTGTTGTATGTACTGTTGATGTTGATTAAAAAAGAAGTTTATATCTTGATTATTTTGTTGTCTAAAGCTAAACAAATCTTGCATGCAGCAGCTTTTGACTGTTTCCAGAGTGCTTATAATATACATAACTCCCTGGAAATTACTGAGCACTTTGAATTTTTGTTTTGTTTTGTTCCGGTTTTTTTTTTTTAATGTCTAAAATTGTCGGTTAATATATTATTTTCTGTTCGAGTAATATTTTTAATATTGCCATATTCTGTAGTATTTTTCTTTGTATATTCCCAGTATGGCACATGATACAAGTCACTGCCTTTTTTTTTTTTCCTATGGTGTATGACAGTTAGAAACGCTGATTATTATTTTTTTCCCCCTCCCGATAACTCTTTCTTTGAGAAAGACAATTTTAATGTTTACAACAATAAAACATGTCAACGAATAGAATCTCGTCTTCTTTCTGCCCAAGCGACAAGCCCCGCCGCCAGCATCCCCTGCCCGCGGAGGACAATAGCCTCTGCCGGGGTGGTGACAACCCGCGGAGGAGTGCGGAGGGGACACGTTCCTTTCGGGAACGCCCGCGGCGGGACCCGGGGGCTCTGCGGGAGGAAGAGGAGGACAACGCGCGGCCGGGAGGATGGG